GATCGGTGGTGGGGGAAGACGGTTAATCGGTGCCAGAGTACCGTTGTACCTGAATGGAGCAGCGAGATGGCTTTCGGTTTCCCTGCAGCCTCCGTCGCAGCTGCAGCTCCGTTCCCCGATCTCTGTTCGCCCGTTCGCCCGTTCGCCGTTCTACCGACTTCCACGTACGCGCACGTGACCACGCTAGCGCTTATGCCCACGCCGACGCTCGCGCTCGCGCGACCGTTCGTGCACGTGAAAGCAGCGCGCGACAGTTTTTCTCGGGCGGCGATCCGCGGATCGGATCGAAGGCTCGCCGCCGCTCGGTCATTTCCGCGTGCGGTTCCGCCACGGGACACCACCGACTCGGCTCGGGGCACGCGCACCTGCGGCACCGACGACGCGTCGCGACAGCTGTTCCAGCGTTACCCGGCCGCGCGCGCCCCCCTCCCCCTCTGCCGAGACGCGACTCGCCGCCCGCCGAGAGATGCCGAGGACCACCATTCCAGTTCGACTCGGCTAGTTTCGGGGAACCGGGCGGCCGATTCGTAGCCGCGCTCTCACATCGATTCGCGGCGCCCGGTCGTCGATCGCTTCGCTCGATCCGTCTCCGGGATCAGTCGCCTCGGCCGAGCCGGACGCCTCGGATTTGTTGGTCAAGGTTCCCGAGGGGCGCAGGACACCCGGCCGTTCTGCTCGACTTTCACCGTGCTCCCCTTTGACAAGCCGATCCCGCTTCCCTCTTCTATTACGCGGAATCTAGCCGATTATCCTTGCGCGCGAGTGCGCGAGTGCTGCGACTCTCTGTGCTCGTCGAGAGAGACACGCGCTCGGAATGTGTCCGTGATACTTTTCAACGTGGTTCGCGATTCTGCATGGTTTCGTTACGAGTGTTGTGTTATAATAGTGTACGGTAAGTGTGTACAGTGTTCCACGCGATTGCTCGAATGATCTTCGATTCTTGGTTCGTGGACCGCGGAGATCGAAACGCTGGAGAACTTGCACGCTCGCGAATATTCGTCGTTTATTCGTTCGTTTATTTGTCGGAAGAGGAATCCTGTTGGATAATGTACGAAAAGATTGCAAATTAATGGCGGAGGAAGACGATGTACGTGACGCGTGAAGTACTCTGAGACAGATTGAGGAGCCAACCGATTACAATGGACGTTAACGTCCCGAAAAATTTTATTTGAATTTTGTTATTATCGAACCGTGGATTTCGTGGATTTCTAGCAAAATTGGGTAAATGCGATTCAACGCTTGACGTTCCGGAAAACTGAAAGCGACCGTTTTCTGTCAGTTATTGAAGGTACCAATCGGATTATTGTTGCCGCGGGTAACGCGTTTATTGAATAAATAATTAATAAACGTATTTTTGCAATCAGAATAATTACATTTATAATGACTGTAATTAATATAATACATTATATAATACATTATAATTATTATACAGTATAATACATTATATATTTTAAACATTATACAATATAATACATTATAATTATTATACAGTAAAATACATTATACATTATAATTATTATACAATATAATACATTATATATTACAAATATTATTCAATATAATACATTATAATTATTATACAGTATAATACCTGTCTCTTATACACATCTAGATGTGTATAAGAGACAGGTATTATACTGTATAATAATTATAATGTATAATGTATTTTACTGAGATGTGTATAAGAGACAGATATATATATATATACATATATATGTATATATATATATATCTGTCTCTTATACACATCTCAGTAAAATACATTATACATTATAATTATTATACAGTATAATACCTGTCTCTTATACACATCTAGATGTGTATAAGAGACAGGTATTATACTGTATAATAATTATAATGTATAATGTATTTTACTGAGATGTGTATAAGAGACAGATATATATATATATACATATATATGTATATATATATATATCTGTCTCTTATACACATCTCAGTAAAATACATTATACATTATAATTATTATACAGTATAATACCTGTCTCTTATACACATCTAGATGTGTATAAGAGACAGATATATATATATATACATATATATGTATATATATATATATCTGTCTCTTATACACATCTCAGTAAAATACATTATACATTATAATTATTATACAATATAATACATTATATATTACAAATATTATTCAATATAATACATTATAATTATTATACAGTATAATACATTAGATATTATAATTATTATACAGTATAATACATTACGCATTAAAATTATTCTACAGTATAATACATTATATATTATAAATATTATACAATATAATACATTATAATATTATTATACAGTAAAATACATTATTTATTATAATTATAATAAGCAATGTATTATATTTTCACGGTTTTTTTCGCAAGCATTAAAATAGTTTAAAAGAAGGAAAGAATTTGAAAATATCAACGTATTATTTTGAACGCTGTTAAAACGGCCGAGCACGGAACGAACTTGCCGATTAGTTTGCGTTTCTTCGAATCGGCGCGGACAACGTTCGTCTCGCGTAAAAATCCGCGGTACAATATAATTTATATTACATCGGTAATATCAATTCCCGACATTATTCCCGGCGCGAATATATCGACCGTGCACGGCCGGACTCCGTAAAATGCAAGATTATCGAAGAAATAGCCGGTAAACCGGGGCTGCTTCTCCGTTTCCGTTTCGACCGAATGAATCGCTTCGGTTTTACGACATTCTGACGGGTTCCGGCTCGGTAGCCAGCCAGTTAAAGTCCATCGAACAATTACGGGCGTAATACCGCGCGTTAATAACAATTTCGTCGTAGACACTCTTGAACTGAGAAATGCCAATGAAGGAACGGGGATGTCGACGGAATGATAATAGACTAAAGAAATGCGACAGTGGCGTAGAAAAGTGTCGGCACGCTTCTTAAAATTGAATAAATAAATAAATAAATAAACAAATGAATAAATAAATAAAATAGAATGTGTATTTCATAAATATAAACAATATAAATGTAAATTTATATTAATTTGATCGATATAAGTATAAATTTAATAACAATTTATTTATTTATATTTTGATTTTATTTATATTTTTTATATTACTTTCGTATTAACGATTTATCGAAAATAGACAGAAATTATAACTATCAGTTCTGAATTCGGATAATCGAAGATTATATTAATAATATATTAATAATATATTAGAAGCTTATATTAATAATACAGGGTGTCCCAAAAATGTCTCGCAATCCGAAAGTGGCGGGTTCTTCGGGTCATTTGAAGCAACTTTTTCCTTTACATAAATATTCTCCGAGGCATCGTTAACGAGTTATTAACGAAAAACAGTGACCAATGAGAGGCGAGTACAGCTGGCGCGAGGCAGCCGAGCCAATGTGCGGAACTGGGCTTCGCGCACTGGTTGACTGGGCGCCTCGCGTCAGTCGTACTCGATTTTTATAGGTCACTGTTTTTCGTTAATAACTCGTTAACCGGTGCCTCGGGGAAAATTTTTGTAAAGGAAGAAGTTACTTCAAATGATCCGTGGAACCCGCCATTTCCAGATTGCGAGACATTTTTGGGACACCCTGTATGTTAGAAGGTTATATTAATAATATATTAGACGATTGTATTAATAATATATTAGAAGATTATATTAATAATATATTAGACGATTATATTAATAATATATTAGACGATTATATTAACAATATATTAGAAGATTATATTCATAATTATAAAAGTCGGATTAAGCTGAGAAAATGGATGGAGAGCGCAGCGATCACGGGGAAGTAAGAGAGCGATGGGTCAGGAAGGACCCGAAGAACATGCCGGTATTACCGGATTTTTCATCGACGAGAGCACGCACGCGCGGTTGCCCCCCTCCCCCCCCCACTCGGTGAATGTGTATCGAGGCACGCAAACCACGAGGCTGTTTTTGCAGCGAACGAACCCGATCGCGCGTAACACAATTCCCTGGATCTCGGCGAGATCGTACCGAGACGTCGATCGTTTACCCCGTCGATCCGCCGTATTGTTTTACACTTAACGCGGGCCGTGCGTGCCGCATGATGATCTACGCGCCGCGAGCCAGCTCGGGTCTCTGCCGCGTCGATACACCACCCTCCAAAAGTATTGGGACACTTGAAGGAAATGAAATGAATTTGCGAGAAACTGATGCAAAATTCTTGGAATTTCTTCGATTTATTTCGAAGTTAATTTTACGAACCTGTAAAAAATATATAATACATTATACATATTTAACGGTATAATAAAAATAATGTTAATTAAATGAAAGATTATATTATTTAGAAATAGATAAAAGATTATATTATTATATTTAACGGTATAATAAAAATAATGTTAATTGAATAAAGGAGAATTAAAGTTTCTTTTCGTCGATACGATCGCCGCATTTTTAATCATTTCTTGGACTAATTTCGAAATCCGTTTCATTCGTTCGTCTATTATTTCTGTTCCTATTTGGTTCCATGTACAGTAATTTCTCCCAGAAATGCCAATTTTCTGATTGCCGTGAATTTCCCTGTGCTACGCCTATGTAATAATCAAGAGTGTAATGCGGCACGGGACGCGAATTTCCGGAAGACGATACAATCATTTCCGGGAAATGAGGGTTTCCTGAGGTCATTCGAAGCAATTTTTTTCTTTTCAAAAATTTTCTCCGAGGCATCGTTCGCGAGTTATTAACAAAAAACGCTGACCAATGAGAGGCGAGCTTGGCTGGCGCATGGCGGTCGAGCCAACAAGCGGACGAAGCCCGGTTCCGCTGATTGGCTCGACTGGCGCGCACAGAGCCCAATCCGCTGATGGGCTCGGTTGACTCGCGTCAGTCAAGCTCGCCTCTCATTGGTCACTGTATTTCGTTAATAGCTCGTAAACAAAGCCGCGGATTGCAATTTCGCTGTGGAAAAAGTTACTTCAAATGAAAAAATAAGTCGAGAAAGAGGAATAACATTTTTTTATTTAAGGCTCCGTTTTCGAAAAAACTGAGTCGAAAGATGCATCGAATTCGTGCGGCTTGTAATACGACGAGAAGTAGAATTGGTATATCATGACCAGACGCGCCAGTTGTTTCCAATTCAATAGTAATCCTTTCTAACCTAATTTTTCTCAAAAACGGAGCCTTGAATAAATTGCATGTATAATCACCCCATCGCCGGTTGTATACGATTCACCCACGATACACCCTGTATATATTAGGAAAAATTAGGGAGAATTTACTGTATTTAGAAAACACATCACGAGCTCGATATACGTTTTCAATGAACAGAATACAATGAATCGGAAAAGCTAATAATCGTATAAGTGATAAACGCTTACAACTCGATGCGCACTTTCGACGATACGATGCCATAAAACTCGCGGACATAACCTAGACCGAATGAAAAACCGCGATTTACGTTGAACAAGAAGGCGCGCCTGATACTTTCGGAGGGGAGTGTACGTGCACCGTGTACGCTAGTGCGGCGAGTGCGCGATACCGCGGGAGAACAGTTCGACGGTGAAATTGTGCCGAAAGTGACGATGATACACGAGTTAGAATAGGCTGACGCGGAGCTGACGCAGCCATGCCCACGAAGAATCCCGAGGCAGTGGACATTCTGGAAGCCCTTGAATCGAATCTCGCATACATTCCAGGCGGACGCGACCGCGAGGGAAGACCTTTGATCGTCGTGAACGTGCCGTCGGAACTCCAGCCGAACACCAAGCCCAGATTGGAATCTCTCGTTGCCTATTTCTTGTCCATTTTTAGGTAATCTCTCGCTGCACTGTGAACGAACTTTTCTACGCGTTGATTTTACGCGCGAAGTACAGCGACTCCCGTTAACATTCGGACGCGTTTTGAAACGCGATAACCTCTCTAGGGAAATTCAGTGACATAACCTTTGAACCGTTAGAGATATCGCAACGAAATTTTCACCAAAAATATTGAAAGAACAGTGGTTTTCAACTACGGATAATTAAATATTTCTTGCACTTATTGAACGATGATTGTTAATCAATTTTCATCGATATTTTTTACTTTCTAAATGTGTATTTCGTATTTACATTTCGCGCATGCAACGTTTTATAGAGCACTCGGAATATAAATTCGAGAATGTTTTTTGTAGTCGGTGGGAAATTAAAAAAAAAAATAAAATATTAAAAATTACCGGGAAATTGAAAACGCATCACCGGAAAATGTTTGTGGCGGAAGATATTTTTTTCATAATAATTGCTAGCAATTACAATTTTTTAATGGCGTGTCCCGGTAAACAAACACCATGAGAGACATCGACAACTTTAAATGCCGATAACTCGACAAGGGGGACGAATTTGGAAACGATCTTTACGCCATTATTTACAGAAAAGTGTACTGAAAATAATTCACCACGTCGCAGAATAGAATTTGCTGGAATAGGAAAAATATATCGTCCATCGATAATAAATAGTTTAATAAATTTATCTTCTCGCATTCAACACAATTTTCCGACAAATTATTCTCATCGTTTAATAATAAAAAAATATGATTTCTCATCGCAAAAGACTGCTCTTCGCGTTAAAAAACAAATCCAGACACATACGTCAAGTGGTATCTTGAAAATAATTTAAAGAACGAAGGCAGCTTCCACGAATGAAAATACTATCGTTAAAATTTCTAGCTTCGAATGATTATATTATTATGAATTATATTATGAAATGGTTATATTATGAAAAATTTGTACAGTAATGTCTCCCTTACTGACGTTCAGACTGTCCATTAAATTGGATAATCTGGGAAGCGGAGATACGATTATTCGAGCCTCGCGGCTCATTTTTATAATTGTGAATGATTTATAACTATAAAAAAAACCGCAAGGCTCGAATAATCGTATCTCCTCTTCCCAAATTGTCCATTTTTGTGCGCAACCTGGGCGTCAATTAGAGAGACATTACTGTATATCGCATTTTATCAGTTCCTTCATTTTCGAGGTTAAATTAGTAGATGAATTGACTACGAAGTAAATGATTTTTCGACAAAATGTCACTGAATTTCTCGCCTTTCGGGGGTGAAGAGGGGAAAACGCCGCGTTATAAAGCGATTGTTCGATGAAAGTGGGTTACAAGGAATGCGTTGCATTGTTAGCGAGGAGACGAAGAGGAATGGGTTAGTCCTGCTGGTGGACGCACGGAAGGGTGCATGGCGCGTCGCGAGGTCTTGCATAAGACTGTCAATGGTTCTTCTCGGGCCGTGTGCCGCCTCTGTGATCGTCGTGCGACCCGAAGGTTTCTGGGACAAACGAGTGGACAGCTGCACCAGGTCTCATAAGGAAGGAGAGGTTCGTGTTCAATCGACTAATTCGACCGTTTTTCTTTTTATCGATCGCTATTCGATCCGTAGAAATCATTAGGTTTAAATTAACGAGAAAAGAGCGGGTGCGTAAATATTAATATTATTATTAATATTAATTAATAATTACAAATTAGTCCAATAATTAGGAACTATTATAATATATATGATATATAATATAATATTATAATATATATAATATTAATATTAATATTATTATTAATATTAATTAATAATTACAAATTAGTCCAATAATTAGGAACTATTATAATATATATGATATATAATATAATATTATAATATATATAATATTAATATTAATATTATTATTAATATTAATTAATAATTACAAATTAGTCCAATAATTAGGAACTATTATAATATATATGATATATAATATAATATTATAATATATATAATATTAATATTAATATTATTATTAATATTAATTAATAATTACAAATTAGTCCAATAATTACGAACCATTTTAGCAAAAGTGTGCGTGCTTTAATCGTCGTTGTAGGCTTTTTCGCAAGCGTTGTAATTTTGCAGGGTTAACGATGGATTCATTATTTCAGCAGGTTGCGTTAAATTCACTTGTCTATCATTATTGTCATTGTTCTCAGCCGACGTACCTAATCCTGACGAGGCTTCCCCTTCACGTGGATTACGCGCAATTACCCTACGAACTGGGCGGCAACAAATTCTACGATCACACGGAGTGGATTCAAAACCGCGTGGTAAAAAATAGTATAATTTCTTTTGCGAAATCTTCGTCGTTAAACAATCCGACGAACCCAAACACATGCGGTTTTTGTCTCTATTCAGCATTTTTAATTTCACAGTGCAACACAGATTACGTTCATTTATTTATATTTGTCACTAAAATATTTTCTATCGAGATGAACATTGAAGCGTTGAAGCGTCGAAGTTCAGTTTATCTTTGTTGCATTGTATAGTTACTATACAGGGTGTCGCAAAAACGTCTCGCAATATTGCAAGTAAAATAATTCTTTGGACCACGTTCAGTTCAGTTTAGTTTTTTGAAACATAATGTCCGAAATTTAGAAATGAGGGCGCCTCCTTTTCAGAGCGTGCGCCTATACAGGATATCCTAAAAATGTCTTGGAATCCGGAAATTAGTCCCTGAGGTCATTTCAAGAAACTTAGCGAATATCCGTGACCAATGAGAGATCGTGCACGACTGACGCTCCGCCCTCGTGACCACTGCCGCCGCGTCAGGCGGCCGGCGCAACGCGTCAATGGCGAGGGCGGCGCCCCGGCCGCACTCGCTCATCGATTAACCATTGTTTTTCGCGAATAACTTGCAAACGAAGCGTCGTAGAACAATTTCGTAAAGGAAAAAGTTGCTTCAAATAAGCTGCGGAACCTCATTTCTGAATTACGAGACATTAGTTTAATAAATGTTTCAGAAAACTAAACTGAATTCAACGTGGCCTAAAGAGTTATTATAATTCCTGCATATTCTTTCTTTATTTCTCAAAATTGCGCACAATTCGTAAAACTTGCGTATTCCTTTATTTCTTATAAGTGACATAATTCGTCAAATTTTGCTCTATTTCTTGGAATTCAAGTAATTTAAAAATATCGCTGTGTCAATTACAACTCGTTAAAATTATTCAAGAGAGAAACGTCTTGCAATTAGCGCGGGCAATTTTTCTTTCGCGCGAAGATCCGCGATCTGATTGTTACATAACGATTCCGAGGTATTTTTTTATCGCTGTAGAAGGTGGAGGACTACGTCAGGGATGCCGCTGATCTCGTGTCGAAGATGACGGACCTCCACCAAAGAATGACCAGCTTGGACGCGTTCCGCATGCTGGAATCGGACGAGGACATAGAATCCTATTGGGAGACGAGCACGGAATTAACATCCGTGGCGGGTTACATCCTACAATCGGGTGAGCGCGAGACCTTTTTGCCGAGCAACTCTCGACGACCGTCGCTCGTTCCGCTCTTCCTCCGTTGTCGCTGTCGATTGAGTCGTCGCATCCGCGCCGGAGGCACGTTGCACTCTCGTTTATGCAAAACAGATTTCGAGAAACACCGGTTAAAGAAAATTGAATTATCCTCGAGCGTATACACAGCTCATTAAAAACAAGCAGCGGCTGATCAAACATTATTATTCATCTTTTATTTGTGTTAATATGATAATGTAATAATAAAATATATATATTATATTATATATATATTATTATTATTATTATTATTATATATATATTATATATATATATATATATATATATATATATATATATATATTAATAATACATAATATAATATAATAAAATTAATATCAATATTAATAATTATACAATTATTATTAACATTATTTATTATTAATTAGAACTTTCTTATCGTCGATATCTTGCTAGTGGAAAAGGGGTTACTTCAAAGCGCTGTAACTTTGCGAGAAAAAATCGCAGCCAAGCTCCTTTTTTTTAAATTAAAGAGGAAGGATCGTACTTTGTTCTATCGTAAAATATTTCACCGAAAAATATTTCACGAAATTACGACACCGGCGTTACAATTAATTGATAAAAAAGTCCATGGTTTTATAATATCGATCGCCTCGGATCGGAGAACGAGAAATCGTTGTCGATCCTTCATCAGTTCTCTATTGTCGGAAAAAAACAGCTTCTCTGGACGAGGTTAACGACTCCTGCAGCCTCGCCCTACAGTTCCGCGTCGCTCACCTAATCATTTCCCGCGGTATTTACCGCGATTGCATGCCGGATAGCATCTTTGATTGCGCCGCTTGCGGTTTCCATTCGAAGACTTTAGAGAGCCGCGCGGTTCCCGACAAAATACGACGAAGAATTTTATCGTCGTTTCAACGTTAAATTAGAAATTCGCGAATATTACTCGAAAATTTCTATTATACGTTACAGTTTGTATTTTCGTAAATCGATCGATCGAACGATCGCGGTCGATCGTACAATTGAATCATGGAAACAATGATCGTGCTGTAAATATGATATAAAATTGAAAATAAGTGCAAATATAAATAATTTACGGTGAACGTTTAAAAAATATGATTATTTATAGTATGACATAAATTTAATAGTTCAATTTTATTTCTGAACGTTCGAAAAACGCTTGTTTAAACGTTAAAAATAAATATAAAATAAAATAAAATGAATAAAATAAATATAAATATTAAATAAATCTACTTATATAATTAATAAAATAAAATAAAAATAATAATGAAATTGAAAAT